ATGTTGAGGCCACTAGCTCAACAGTAGAGAATTCCTGTTTTCCCGCCGTTTTGTGCTGTGTGAGTCCGCTAACCAGTTAATGTCGCTGTCGCGTCACGTCGTGTGCASKTTGTCATTTGTAGTGTTAGTGTAATGTGATCATCAGCTTCATGTGTTATGTTCTCGTGCAGTGTGTTCATCAATTGGTAAGTTCTTTGCCATTGCTTGCTTGCAGTATTGTACCATCGTAATGTAATACTCTTTGTTTTAGGATTTTACTGTGTGTGTATCGGATAGTTTACATGTGAAACCATTTGATGAATAAATCGAATCAGTGCATATGAAGTTGAGACGTGTGTGTTTAACCCCTACATCGGCGTAAAATCCAATTGTAATCCTACGATGAGTAAAGAGGGAGCTCTTGTGGCTAAGATCTACGAACTGGATCGCTCCAGAAGCGGATATCAAGCTGTTCTTTCCCGTGTATGCAAGAAAATCGAAGAGAAGCTAAYAAGCGAAGACAACCTTGAAGACGTGAAACTATTGCAATCTCGCCTAAATACCGCCTTTGATCGTTATCAGCAATGTTGCCGAAAGTATGACGACTTGTTGGATCACGCTTGTGAAAAATATCTAAATATTCAGGAACTGCTAAGCCAACAACTGAGGAGAAAGGAGTATGTTAACCAGAAAATYAACATGTTTATCGCTAGTGCTATGGTCAGCCGAGAAGTGACGAGAATCGAAGAAGAAATAAAGCAAACAGAAACCGAGTTAAAACAAGCCCTCGAGCGAGACAAGTCTGTGTCTGGTGGTCGAATTACCGCCAAATCTTCCCCGAATGAGTCCAGAGTTCAACAAACTGTGTTACAGGATAGCAACAATCCCAGTGAAGAGAATATTCAAGATATTTTTGAGTCCAATGTTATTATCCCACCGCCGCCAATGTTYTCAGATGTCATTACCCCAGAACCATCGAAGCGTAAACGAGAGCCGATTCAAGTGATAACATCGACACCTGTCATTCCAACACATCAAACAATCCGACCGGAACCAAAGGACCAAATTCATGATGAGAGTAAAGTCAGTGAAGRATTCGGTACTCAATCCACGGTATTACAAGATAATTATAGCCCACGTGCAGAGGGCTTACAAGATCTCTCTGGAGTTATACTACCCCCTCCCCCTGTGTATTCAGACATTATGTCGCCGCCACTACCGGGGGGTAAACAAGAGTTGTTTCAAGTGGAAAGGTCAATACCTTTTGGCCCGTCTTCCTGCAATGCCGACTTCGATCCCTCTGTTGCCATAGTGACGGATTCATCACAGGAATCCCAACCCCAAGTGAGGCATGAAGGAAGTCTTCAAACCACAGGAAACCCGCAAGTTATACAGACAACAATCAACACAGAATCGAACAAGACTAAGAAGAGACTATCTGTGACACAAAACGTCGAAAACACATCCATGCAAAACTCCAACAGCGAGACAGCAGCACAGGATTCCCAACCTCTCCGTGCGGAGCCCAAATCCAGCGACCAAGGGATACTTACGGCGATAGTAGCGTCTATGGACAAGATGACCAGCGCGCGCGATCTACCAGCAGTTCGAGTGGTGAAGTTTGATGGTTCGCCGGAGAAATATTTGACATTTCGTCAGAGGTTTAAGCAACTTGTGGAGTCAAGACAACTTGACGATGCTGTTAAGATGACACGCCTTCTACAGTTCCTAGAGGGACCTGCCCTTGCTGCTGTGCAACACTACGAAACTATACCTAGAGGACTAGAGAAGGCTCTGAGAGTATTAGAAGATAGATTTGGCCGCCCCTATCACGTAGTTAAGGCCTGCGTAGAGMCARTGACGAAGGGACCGGCAATACAGCCCAACGACAGACAGGCGCTACAGCAGTTTGCAGACATGGCTCAAGCAACTTATGACACCCTCGACGCGGTCGGTTATTTGTCCGAAATGAATACCAATAACCTGGAGAAGATGATGTCACGCTTACCAAAATGGATTCAAGCTAAGTTCGTCGAACACTTGAGTAAGCTTGAACGAAAGGGACAAACGTTACCATCCTTTAAGGACGTCGTGGAGTTCTTACGAGATAGAGCTGACATCGTCAATCATCCATTTCTTGCAAGGCCAACTGTCGAAGGCACGTCGCCCCAAGGGAAATCGTCGAACACGAGGTTCAAGCCTACTACGCTAAAGCCTTCAACTTATGCAATCGCTGCAACAAGTAAGGATCCGGCATGTGAGTTATGCTCAAATTCCCATCGTCTGTATCATTGTGATGCATTCAAGTCTAAGTCTATTAAGGAAAGAAATGACTTTGTGAAGAGTAAGCATCTCTGCTTCAACTGTCTGAGCTCAACTAACCACAACGCTAAAACCTGCAAGTCCCAGACCAGATGTCGAGCTTCTGGTTGTGGCAAGCCTCATCACACTATGCTACACTTCGATGAATGCTTAACGATTCAAGTCAAGCGTCCGCCATCGCAGGCGACGAACGCGAGCGGACGAACTACGTTAGAACCCGTGCAAGAAGTAAACGTCTCACCTGGTAATTCACACACAATTTCGAGTGACGTCAACGCGAYCTCAACATGTGAAACGAGAGAAGTCCTGCTACAAGTGGTACCAGTGAAGGTGATAAGCAACGAAAGACACTCGCTAACTACATACGCACTACTAGACTCTGGGTCAGATATCACGATGATTGACCCATCACTTGCCATGCTTCTGGGGTTAAGAGGAAGACCCAGTAAGCTTCGTTTCAATACCGCAAGCGATTGCAATGCCGAACAAAGTGGAGTAAAGGTTGATTTCAAGCTAGCCTCAGTAAGTGGCAATGATGAGACTCAGGTGTACGTCAAATCAGCCTGGGCCACCAAGGAACTTACAATCCCCCTTAAACATAACAAGGTGCTGAAGTCCACTGATCAATGGCCGCACTTACGTGAAGTCCCATTTCCTACCGTAGAGAGACAGAGGATATCAGTCCTGATCGGAACCAATGTGCAAGAAGCGTTCGTACCGGTGGAAGTGAGAAGAGGAAACAGAGATGAGCCCGTCGCCATACGATCATGCCTTGGATGGAGTGTCCTTGGCGGTAGCTTTACACGAGGTAYAAGTGAACCAGCGAATCTCAATTATATACRTAAGGAGGACGTTACGCTGAATGAACAACTGGAAGAGTTCTGGAAGGTCGAGTCATACGGGTCCCATAAAACGGAAGCGAAACCATTGTCAGTTGAGGATCAAAGGGCCATGAAGATTATAGATGACACTATATGTAAGGTGGGCAGTAACTACAGGATGGGACTGCTATGGAAGACGCCAAACCCTGATCTCCCTAACAACCGCAAACTAGCTGAAGCAAGATTGAGCAATCTGRAGACACGGCTACAACGCGATCCCGAGTTGCTGATAAAGTACAGAAACGTGATGGAGAACTACATAGCTAAGGGTTACGCTTCAAAGTTATCGAGAGAGGAAGCAGAGAACACTGGATCTAAAACATGGTACTTACCTCATCATCCGGTTTACAACCCAAACAAACCCGGAAAGATCCGCGTTGTATTCGACGCGGCTGCGAAGTTCAGCGGTACGTCTCTAAATGATAACCTTCTMCAAGGTCCGAGTCTTATCAATGACTTGTCCGGAGTCCTGCTTCGATTCCGTGAGGAACACTCCGCCTTCACAGCGGATATCGAGGCAATGTTTTACCAAATCAAGGTGGTTCCGAGTGATACAGAAGCTCTCAGATTCTTATGGTGGTCAACCAACTTGGACGATCGACCCGAGGAATACAAGATGACGGTGCAYATCTTCGGAGCGAAGTCTTCCCCCTGTTGTGCCAACAAGGCTTTGAGAGTGACGGCAGCGGACAACGCAGACARCTACGACCCTGACGTCATCCGTACAGTCGRACGCAACTTTTACGTCGACGACGTATTAAAGTCAGCTCCTACCCCAAACCAGRCCATCCACTTAGCAAAGGAGTTAACCAAGTTATTGAAGGAAGGCGGCTTCCGTTTATCAAAGTTCTCTAGTAACAGCAGAGAGGTGCTGGCGTCTATTCCGAAAGACGACAGAGCTGATCCCACATTCGATATGGACCTCGATAGACTGCCCGTTGGCAGAGCACTAGGGGTCTACTGGGACACTGAATCCGACACATTCCAGTTCAAGACACTAGTCACAACCAAGCCGCACACAAAGAGAGGAGTGCTATCCATAGTAAGTTCACTGTTTGACCCCCTTGGGTTCCTAGCCCCATTCACCTTYACCGTCAAGTCTCTTCTCCAAGATTTGTGGAGAGCGGAGGTTTCCTGGGACGAAGAAATTCCCGAGCCGTACCTGTCGCAGTGGAAGGACTGGCTGAGAAACATGCCGAAAGTTGTCAACATACACATTCCAAGGTGCTTCAAGTCACCCTTCTTGTACACGCCATCACGCATCGAGCTACATGTATTCTCAGATGCTTCTAGAAGAGGCCTTGCAACTGTCGCCTACCTGAGAATGCTAAATGAGTTAGGATACGTACACTGCTCATTTGTAATGGGAAAGGCCAAAACTGCACCGCTGAGAGAGTGGACTATACCCCGCTTAGAGCTTCAAGCCGCTGTGTTGGCAACCCGTCTGGCTACAACAATACGGAGAGAGCTAGACCTAACTATAGRCTCAACAACCTACTGGACAGATTCGTCCACAGTTATCCAGTATCTACAAAACATCAATAGAAGATTCCCAGTGTTTGTYGCAAATCGCATTACAGAGATACACGAGGTAACTACTATCGAACAGTGGCGACATGTTCCTGGCACCCTGAATCCTGCGGACGAAGGGTCGCGAGGAGTAGCCATCGATTACTTCGAACCCGGCTGCCGCTGGTTGTCGGGTCCGGAATTCCTGTGGCAACATGAGGATGAATGGCCTAGTAAAGAAACAAAGCCTGAAGAGATCATGGAGTGCGAGTCTACAATCGCCACACTAACGACMGCAGAGACTACTCCGTCGCAGATCGATCATTTGCTGCGACGTTACTCGTCCTGGCCACACCTACTGAAGGTCACGTCGTGGCTTCTAAGATTCGTTAAAGCCGCAAGAAGACAAGAACCACGGCGATCAGGTGCGCTCAAATTAGTAGAGATCCAAGATGCTAGCCGTGAAATTATCCGACTGATACAGSTTAAGTTCTTTAAAGAAGAGTATCAGGCCCTACAAAGGCAAGAGCGGGTAAAGAAAGGCAGTAAGCTATCGAGCCTCGATCCCTTCCTGGTCGACGGAATCATACGAGTGGGTGGAAGAATTCGCAACGCGCCATTACCCCCAGATGCAGTACATCCAATGATTATACCGAAAGATCACCCTGTAGCTGCGCTTATAGTGAGATTCTACCACCAGTTCCTTGGACACGCAGGTCGCGAACACGTGCTCTCAGCATTGCGCCAGCGTTATTGGATAGTGCATGGAAGATCCCTTGTGCGTCGTGTCTTACACAGCTGCTTTGACTGCCGCAGACGAAATGCACCAATGATGCAACAAGTCATGGGAGACCTTCCCAARGAACGACTAACCCCATTCCAAGCTCCATTCACGTTTACAGGAATCGATTTCTTCGGACCCTTCCACGTCAAGAGGGGCAGAGCAACGGAGAAGGTGTATGGTTGTATCTTTGTTTGTTTCAACACCCGCGCAGTTCATATCGAGGACGCAAGTTCCTTGTCCACAGACACCTTCATCCAAGCGTTCAGACGATTCATCGCCGTACGCGGCTGCSCTAAAGAMGTGTGGACKGATAACGGAACAAATTTTACCGGAGCCGAGAAGGAGCTCAGAGTTTCTATCAGACAGTTCAACGAGAAGATCATTAGAGATGAGTTACATACAAACGGAGCCGAGTGGCACTGCTGTCCTATGCCCAAGTGGAAATTCCAGCCACCTGCCGCAAGCCATATGTCAGGTGTATGGGAAAGGTTAATACGCAGTGTGCGCMAGACCATGAAGGCGCTTCTGAGAAATCCTAACGCCCCCCTCGCGTGGGAAACTCTACGTACTGTGTTCKGTGAGGCTGYATCCATATTGAACAGTCGCCCTCTATGTCCCAGCAGCGACGACCCCAACGACTTTGAACCGCTCACGCCYAAYCACTTCCTTTTGYTGCGACCGAACGCAACACCCCCGCCCGGAACATTCAGCAACGATGATTTGTACTCGAGAAAACACTGGAGGCACGCGCAATTCCTCGCAAATCATTTCTGGACAAGGTGGGTGAAGGAATACGTTCCGATGCTTCAGCAGCGGCAGAAATGGACAACCGTGAAACGAGACATGAAGATCAACGATCTTGTCCTAATCGCTGATTCCACTGAGSCAAGATGTAAATGGTTACTCGGGCGTGTGACAAAGGTATATCCTGGTGCGGATAATCATGTGCGAGCGGCCGAGCTGAAGACCAGAAACTCGACGCTGGTTCGACCTATCACAAAGCTATGCTTGTTAGAGGAGTCWCAGTAAGGTTAAGAGACYTTGAACATTGATCAGCCAACGCTGGAACTAGATTCCCWAAAGGAACATTATTGTTGAGTTATTATGAACGATGAACAGTCAACCCATGAGGAAGTCTTGTTAAGTGATTAGTTACAGCTTGATTAACAATGTGAAAATATGTATCTTGTTCAGCCTAGCCCCCGAGGATGTTGAGGCCACTAGCTCAACAGTATAGAATTCCTGTTTTCCCGCCGTTTTGTGCTGTGTGAGTCCGCTAACCAGTTAATGTCGCTGTCGCGTCACGTGTGCACGTTGTCATTTGTAGTGTTAGTGTAATGTGATCATCAGCTTCATGTGTTATGTTCTCGTGCAGTGTGTTCATCAATTGGTAAGTTCTTTGCCATTGCTTGCTTGCAGTATTGTACCATCGTAATGTAATACTCTTTGTTTTAGGATTTTACTGTGTGTGTATCGGATAGTTTACATGTGAAACCATTTGATGAATAAATCGAATCAGTGCATATGAAGTTGAGACGTGTGTGTTTAACCCCTACAGCTCCCATCGCAGTAAACTGTACTTCTCAGTGTCTTCTCACTCACAATTCTTCCCTCGTTTGTTCCCAAAGCGCGCGTCTACTCCATTCGCCTTCACAAAGCTATGCTCGGCCGCGAACATTGGAACATCCCAGTAGGCTTCCGCATCCGTTGATACGTAAGATGGTTTCTGTATCGCAGGCGAGTACCAAAGGGGTACTGTATCTGCCAACTTCAGGTTTTTCAGTATCTCGAAGTACAGTATTTTCAGCTCTCTCTTTCTTGGTACAAACAATGAGACAATCAAGTAAGAAAAGGATTTTTTTAACCAAAATCTGTATTACCAAGTGTACTTTAGATAACGGGTGCTTTTAGACTAGATTGCATTTTCTAATTTCCACTTTTTTAAATTCAGGATCCCCTTTAGCACTATGTTGATCATTGTCCTCCCGGAAAGCAAGAGAGGCCAAAAAAAGTATAACAACCAAAGTTGTAATGAAAGCCATTAACCGGGCACTTCATTTTTATCCAAAGGTCGCCACGCTGACCGGCCATTTCACCATTTGGACATTCACAGTTTTTGGCTCGGGGCTTCAAATCTATTTCTATAAAAAGAAAAAGTATGTAACATGTGATCACCAAAAAAAAAGAACTAGAATATTATAAACAGTGAGGACTATTTATGACCGGTTAACCGACGTCAAATTTGAAACAATTACTTTATAAATAATAATCTCGTTGAGTTTGAGTTTGAGTTGAAATTCGAAATCGAAATTTCTCTGTTTAATACCTGATAAATGAGCCGATATAAAACTCTTTGAATGCGTCAAGAAAATAATTTGATCCATGATGTTACTTCTAATACCACATTTGATAAAATACTTCTTCCTGATTGGTTGAATGACCGTTATTTTTTTCTTAACCTGCACGATTTAAAATTAATTGCACACATGTTGGAACTTTCTATCGTGTATTGTGTGTTATTTGAAACACGAGTGCAAATCGCCTCATTCCCAGACCCTATTCACTAGCCAATACGTAGCCCTGGGAAACCCTATAATTTCAAGTGATTCAATTGGCTTGCCGGAATCACAAAGAAGGTGCTATTTTTAGGTTGGTTTTTGGGAAAATAAAGCTGTAGCGGCTAGAAATATAGAAAACCTTCTACATTTCTTTCACAAAAATATTATTAAAAATATTATCAAAAGTCTTACGCTTAGTTAGATAAACGAAAGAGAATTTAGAATTAAATACTGCATCACTAAATTGAGAATATTTAAGTCTGGAAACACGGTGACCTAATGATCATAATACTCAAACATAAAGCAATATCTTGAGAGATATTACTTTAAAATGTTTGTTTCCGAGATATAAAAAGCGCTTTGGTGACCTGGTCACAAGATTAATCTGGCTTCCGGTCAGCCAAGCCATGAAAAATCAACTCGATGGTTTACCATTTTTTCAGCTTAAGTATGGTGCTCCTCTATAACTTATTTTATTCCATACCTTCTTTGTCCGCTAAGACAAGAGTAACACAAAGCACCAACACAGCCAGGAAGACAGTTTTCTCCATTTTCTTTGCTACACCGACTTAACTGTTATCTGTTGAAGAAAAACCCAAAAATATAAACTTAAAATTTAAGATGTTAATAAGAAATTATATTTTCACATAATAGTATGGATTCGGGGGAGGGGGGAGGGGGGTGGATCTTGAAAAATTATAATATGTAGAATATGAGAAAAGAGATCAAAATGACTTTTTCTTGGAGAAATAAAGTTCTCTAATTTTGGATTTTCTTGTGAAGTTCACCACAAGATATGTTTTCAAAGTGTTCTGCAGTAAAATGATAATCAGATACCTTGTATCTTGGAATCTTAGTTTAGTACTTTGTTGTCACACGTTGAGATGAGATGTGAATCAAACTTATGACTTGCATAGGCTTCTCTGATTGATCACCATTCAGAGTCTTTGTTGTTGATAAATTAGCTTTGTCTGTGGGGGTGAGGGACAGTACTGTTTTGATCATGTGTTTATCGTTGTGTAAAACCCTTTTGTTGACTGAGATACTTTAAATAATGTCTACACTCATTTCAGGATAGTGAATGACTTATTTTCTTTAAAACAATGTGTTATAATCTGTGCTTTTGTTAGTGTAAGAACAATAAATTTTCTAGACCGGTTTAAGTAACTGGGGAAAACGCGGTACTGACTTACAGTACGTACACAGTCGACATGTGAAATGGCTGGGGAAATATAATGTAATAATTCTACTGCTCAGGGTATTGAAACGAGTCAACAAAATATTAACAAGCACTGAAATTATTCCACATGGGTGTATTCTACATTTAACCTTGCACGTCCGTGGAGTAAATAGTAAATGGCTTATTATCTTCGAAACAATATGCATTAATTTGAGTTTTTTTAGAAGAAGAAAATAGAATTTTCTATTCCAGTTTTCGTATCTTGGGAAAACACGAGACTGGTTTACAGTGCACGTACACATTATGACATGCGAAATAGCATTCATGACAAGGGAGCTCGAGCGCGGCAGAAATAAATTAATTCGTTGATTGGGCTTACTGTGATACATAACTTATTTGATTGGTTTTCCTGTGATATGGCTCATAAGTAAACAAATATGGCGGATGATACAAATAAATGGGAAGCACCGGTGGCGTGCGCTGCTAATGCGCTGCCTCTCACCAATGCGACCCGAATTCAGAGTTGTTTGTTGGTTCTCTCCTGTGCTTCGAAGGTTTTTTTCCGGGTTCTCCGGTTTTCCTCCCTTTTCAAAAATCAACTACTAAATTCGAATTCGATCTTTGGGCTTTCACCTAGTTTGGAGCCTAGCTCTGTTGTGATTGTCCCACGCTGTGATACAAGTTAGTAGATTTTAGATTTTAATAAATGACTGAGAGTGAAACTATGATCATGTGAACGGGCCTCGGCCAATCAGCATCAGAGAATTCGTCAGCACACGTCAATACCAAAGAAGACCAATTGACAAATTTTTTTCTGCATGCCGTGCTCCCTTGTTTATGATAGAAAACAAGTTATATATTATAATACGCTAACCAGTACCCTGTCTGTACGGGAAAAAATTCCCTCATGACCTACATGATCACTTTCCAGCCAACTAATGCCCGTAGTCTTCTTCAGAGTCTTTCGTTTTCTCACTGGACTCTGAAGATGACTACCGCTCAGGTTATCGGAACGTCAGTCACCACCAACAGTCTTTCTCAATACTACACTCACCCGGAATATCACACTTCACAACAAAATTAAAACTTTGAGATTCGTTTGTAGACACATGCATAATTGCATAATCGTAAAAAAAAAAATGGTTAAAGATAAGAAACTAAGTATTATGTACATATTTCAATAAAGACCTAGTAATGTCAGTTCTAAAATAACTGTTATGAATGTCGCGTTCTGATYGTTTTGGAGCGCGTGCTTTATGAGAGCACATTGCACGCGCGCGCACTTTCCGTTGTGTCATTCCTATCTAAAATAACGGTTATTGTAATATGTATTTTATAAAAGGAATAAAAATATTTTTTGCTGTGCTGTGTGGAGACAAACTAAACACCGAGTTGAGAGCCGAGTTGAGAGCCGAGTTGAGAGCCGAGTTGAGAGCCGAGTTGAGAGCCGAGTTGAGAGCCGAGTTGGGAGCCGAGTTGGGAGCCGAGTTGGGAGCCGAGTTGGGAGCCGAGTTAGGAGCCGAGTTATTTAAAAATTTAAATTAATTTTTTTGGGA